TCTCTCTCTCTCTCTCTCTCTCTCTCTCTCTCTCTCTCTCTCTCAGCTATATCCCCAGACTTTTCCTTTTTTTTTTTTTCCTTTTAAGACAAGGTCTACCAGGTTACCCAGAATGGCCTTGAACCCGGTCTGTAGCCCAGGCAGGTCTTGGTACATTCAATCCTCCTGTCTCAGCCTCCAAATGGCTAGGATGACAGACCTGTGCCCAGCTCTCTACCACTATTCTTACTCCATTCCATCAGGGCTCTACCCTAAATTCAGAGCTCATCCCCCAAGTGCAAACCTGACCCATCACCTCTTGTTCTGAATTCCCTCCTCACTGGCTCCTCACTGCCTGCAGGGTAAACTTGGGACCTTTGCAAAACAGCAAGGCCCTCACACAGCTCTCCAGCCTCATCTTTCAACGCCTCTCTTCTCCTCACCTCTGCCTTTCTGCCATTCTGACAACCTGAGTCCCCAGAACGTGCCCCCTCATGGGACATGGCTCCCCACAAACATGCCTCCTTTCCTGTACCTCCCTTCCACCTGCAAGGCTCTCTGTAAGTTGTCTGCCAAGCAAACATGGCCTGATTCCCCAGCACACACAACCTCCACAGCTCCTCCATTCCCTGGTTCAGCATCCCACTACCTGGGCAGGTGCGAATGCCTCTCCTGCTTGGGGCCAAAAGTACTCAGGCCACATTATGGTCACCTGACATCTTTCTACAGCACAGCAAACCTCACAAGAGTGAGGGTTTAATCCTCTTTCCTCATCTCCCCTCAAATCCAGGCTAGTGGCTGAGGCCCAGAAGACCGTCAGTGAATGTTGACCGAGTAAATGAATAAGAAGAGAAAAGCAAAGGGCAGGCAGGGTGTCAGCTGGGAGCAGCTGGGGACGGGCAAAGGCAGATGGACTCTGTACAAGCACTGCTAAATCTTTCTCTTTGAGTTGAGTTCTCCATGTCCTAGCAGTGGTAAGGTAGGCATTTGATCTAGGCACGGTCTGTAACTTGTTGAATTCAGCGCTCTGTTCTCGGAGAAATCCATCTGGTTTCTATACATACCTCAATTAGGGGTGATTATGTCTCCTGTCAAAGACTGCTCACGTCCGTTTCATTCAGCGGGCAGTCCTTCCAGGGCATAAAGAATGGGATTGCCAGATTTATAGAAATTCAATATGTATGTGGCTTTTTATGAACATATGACTCACAGAGGCCAGAGCACGCTATCAGCTGGGCCTCAGGGAGAACTTGGGCACCTGGATTCCCTTCTGGAGCCCTCTCTGCTCAGCCCCTGGAGATCTGAGTCTAGGGATGCCATGCTGGGCACCTGGCCATGAGATCCAGTGTTTTCTCTTGTGCTCTGTCCGCACCTCTCGGAATCTTATGGAGGTGGTCCTCAGACCTGCACGTAGGGGCTCAGGGGAAGAAGCTGCAGCAGAGGGCCGAGAAGACACCTCCTCCAAATGGGATCCCCTTTTCTCCCTCCCGCTCTCCTTCTCTCCCTCCCTCCTGATGTCCCTCTCTTCTTCCTTCCTCTCTTTCCACCCATGCTGGGGATGAAACTCGGGTCCTCACAAATGCTAAGCAAGTTCTCTATCACTGAGCAGCAACTCCAATCATAAAGCCTTCACTTTTGAAGCCCTGTGAAAACCACCTCTGTGTACCCCTTCCTATCACCTCCTTGTCTCGTGTCCAAGTCCAATACACGGCCCAGCTGCATCTACCAATCACATTAAGTTCCACATGCTGGCTCTCGTGCCATACCCAGCATGCCATACCCAGCACACCTTGGGCAGCTGCTTTAAAATGGTGGACTTGGGGCCCAGAGGAGCCACAATGGCCTGCATCTTCCATTCGATGAAGTAGGACAATCCAGGGATGCAGTGCCCAGTGACCCCTGATGCTGAGCACTGGGAGATAAGCAACTGCCATACCAGGGATGCAGTCCTTACCTGACAGCACCGTGAAGACAGCCGCGAAGGCATTGAGTTTGAGCCCGTCTATGACGCTGCTGGAGTGGACGAGTTCGAGACACATGAGGCTGAAGCCGACCAGCAGCAGGAGGATGTACAGTGCCTCGGAGACCACGGACAGCCACAGCACCCCTGGAGAGCAAGAATGCTGATAAGCAAAGCCTTGAGCTTGCCTGTCCACCCCACCCCTGCCACCACTGGCAGGCAACAGCAAGTCACCTCAGGCCCAACCTCAGCTCTGGGTTACCTGTGCTGTGGAAGGGAGGCCTGCTGGACCAGCTTGGGGTGAGGTTGACACTGCGGGTCCCGAGCAGAACCATGGAGAGGAGCCCTTCCTGGCCATGGAGGGCCTTAGGGCTACCCTACTCCGGGCTCTGCATGGACAAACTTTGCTGGTGGTAAGTTCATTTGGGGGACATTCTGTTACCTGTGTTACAAGCATCCCAACTCACCACTCGCCCTCAAGCCTCACCTATGCCTTTACCTGTCCCATACCCTTCCCTGTACCCTCCTCTGTACCCTCCCCTGTACCCTGCTCCGTACCCTCCCCTGTACCCTGCTCCTTCCCCCCCCTGTACCCTCCTCTGTACCCTGCTCTGTACCCTCCCCTGTACCCTTCTCTGTACCCTCCCCTGTACCCTCCTCTGTACCCTGCTCTGTACCCTCCCCTGTACCCTGCTCCGTACCCTCCCCTGTACCCTCCTCTGTACCATGCCCTGTACCCTGTCTTGTGCCCTTCCCTGTAGTCTCCATGTACCTTCCCCTGCACCCTACCCTGTAGCCTTCCCTGGACCCTCCCCTGTACCCTGCCTGTCAACTGTTCCCTGTGCACTCACACCTTAGCCTTCCAATGGTATGGGGGTTCAAGCCCACAGATCCTCCCCCTATACAGGCCCACCAGGAGCTGCTAGCTCTCCTGCCCAGTTTTGGGATGTCTGCTGTTTCCCACCCAAGATTATCATTCCCTCTTCCTCCTATATGCTTGTCACTTAAGACAGCTCCTCCTTCCTTCGTCCTGCAGGGACTCCTTGCAGCTGATCCCCATCCTGGCACCATGCCTTGGGCACACCCAAGGGACATGATATGAGACCTGGGGATGCAGGAAGGACAGGAGGGTGGGTGCTCATTAGGAAGACTGTCTGACCCCATGGGACACTGCAGTGTGAGCCACATCTCAGAGCTGTCCCAGGCAGAGCCTCATGGGTCAGGCCCCCTGGTCAGCCCTGGCTGGAGAGAATGCAGAGAAGAAAATGCCAGTTCTGAAAGGTAGGCAAAAAAAGGGCTCCAGGTGCCCAGAAGCCATCTAAAGAGAGGCAGGGAGATTGGTAGATTCAGAGAAGACAAGAGGCGACTAGTTGTAACTCCAGCTGCTGCTGGGAGACAGGTGGCTGGCCTCTCCATCCTTAGCATCGCAACCCCAAGCTCCACCAGCCCTGTGTGTCTGTCTGCCTGGGTATGCCCTTGCCACTAGTACCTACCTACTCTGTCCCCAAGAAATGGACCCACCCCACTCTCAGGTGGTGAATAGAAGCCCCCTGAGGACGTGACTGGGCTATACAGCCCCATTTCCCCACAAATATCACATTAAGTTGAGCCAAAGAATGAAGGAGCAATTTCATTCCCATTACTTAAAATTCTTATTACCTCCATCAAAAGAGTCTGTGGGTGGTGCCAAATGTGTCCTAAAACCCTTCTAACACTTGTCAATTTTTAGCAGATACAGACAAGGTCTCATGTAGTCTAGGCTGGCCTCCAATTCACAATGAAGCTTTGAATGCTCGATCCTCCTGCCTCCACCACTGGAATACTGGGATTACAGGCATGTGCCACCATGTCCAATTTTATGTGGTGCTAAGGATTAAACCTAGTGCTTCCTGCATGCTAGGCAAGTACTGTACTAACTGAGCCCTACTTATCAGTTTTTTTAAATGGAGGGTGAGACTCAGGCCCACTGTCCATATAGTTACTTCCTGCCCTGATGATTCTCCACGGAGCCCCCATCATCTCTATCCCCTCTGTCTGTACCCACCCTCATGTCTCTGCCCTGTTCCATGTCCAGGGGCCAAGTCACCCAGACCCATGAGCTCAGCCCTCAGGAGTAATGAGACACCTGATATCTTTGCTTGCTCCTTCCCAGACAGACTTCATCCCTGCCCACAACTGTCCCCTCTGTGCTCCATCATCACAGTTCTGTCTCCTGCTGGCTCCAGACACCCTCTTCTCCTCCTGGCCAGGGCAGTACTGTTTGGAGGATCCCTACTCCGCAAGGACCTTCCCTGGTTCATCATTTTATGATGCTCAATCTTGGTCTTCCATCAGAGTGAGGTTCAAATCAATGGCCCCAGTATCACCCTAACTTACCATCAGTAACATGGGAAACAGATAGTGCAGTCTCAGACCTGACATCACAAAACCAGCTAGGCAATGCAAGCTTCCATGGCCGTTGTGGAAATCAACAGGGAGGCACCTCAAAAACCCAAAATTAGAATGATCCATGTGATCTAGCTGTGCCACTCCTAGACTACACCCAGAGGAATCTAAGTTAGCACTCCACAGAGTCACCTAATGTGGAACCAGCCTAGAAGCCCATCAACAGATAAGGAAAATGCAGTTGTTGATGCACAATGGAGTACAATTCAGTCATAAAGAAAAATGAAATGATATCATTTGTAGGGAAATAGATGGAACTGGAGATCATTATGTTAGTAAAAGATGCCAGACCCAGAAAGACAAGCATCACATCTTTCTCCTCATATACAGAATTTAGATTTAAATGAAAGTAGAAAGGAGGGTTGGAGAGATGGTTCAGTGGCTGTTCTTCTAAAGGACCCAGGTTCAATTCCCAGCACCCACATGGTGGCTAATAACCATCCGTAATTCCAGTTCCCATCCGACGCCTTCTTCTGGCCTCCTTGGGCATTGCACGACACAGGTGCACTAACGGACATGCAGGCAATACACTCACACACATAAAATAAAAAATAATGAAATATTTTTTAAAAACAAATAATATGAACTAAAAGTTTACGACAGCAAGGCGTGCTGGCAGAACAGCACAGCCTGTTCTGGCTCTGATGGTTCCAGCAGACGACACAGGTGCATGCTCAGGTTCAGGGCCACTAACCTTTAATGTCCCTTTAAAACATATGTATAGAAAAGACAGCCGACTTCAGGAAGAATAAGCCGATGTTGGGATGGTAAGTGTTAGCTCTGGTGGTCACAGAGCAGGTGGACAGGGATAGTGAGGCCATGGGGGGGCAGTGTGGCTGTAGGCTGTGCAGTGCTCACTGCAGTTACTGGTACAGTGTGGGACACATATGGCTCCTTAGAAAAGGGAATAGGGAGAGATCGAGGTGGCGGCCTCTGAGGAGACTTGCTTTGGTGATATGGGATTGAGGGGAGCAGGATTGTCCCCGTTTCTGAAACTTGCTGCTAATGGTTCGATTTGTAGCAGAGAATGGACGACCTTCAGGGGCAGAGGAAATGAGATGATTCCTCGTCAGGTGTGGCCACAGCTGACAGCTAATCCTGTTAGCTGCACTTTTTGCCTTTTTAAAAAACAGCTTGGCGAGGTCCACTCTGACCTGCCATTGATGGAATTGATGGGTTTGCAAGAACGATTTCCCCTCTGCACTGTCCATCTCCTGCTCGGAGTCTCCAGGGTTGGCTCCTCACTGAGCACAGAGACATTGGCGGGGGTGGGGGGCAGGTGTTCCTTAGCAAGCCTGGGTTGCATGACCTTGAGTGGGGCCCTGTGACCTTCAGTGGGGACTCAGTCCCTCACTGCCTTCCTTTGAGAAGTGAGCATGTAGACATGGAGCTTGCTGAAGCCCCGATGGATTCCTCAGCCTGATGCTGGGAAAGGATTTAAGAAAGTTAAGTAAGACCATTACTGGTGAGTATGTGCAATTATTAGCAATTACAGTCAAGTCTCACTCAAAGGCAGAGGGGACACTTCCTCAGAGCTGTGTTGCTAGGCCATCTTGATCCCCTCATTATAGGAATATCACAACACGGACCTAATATGCACAGCCAGTAGGTGAGTCAGGAGGGGTGGCCTCTTGATACAAAGGGATGCTCTAAGCACAAGGGGCATGTTTTTATGGTAAACGTTTTAAAAAGAGAGTTCACACCAAATAACAGTGAGAGCCAGGCATAGTAATGGCTCAGGTGTGATAATCTAATCCCAGTACTTGGGAGGCAGAGGCAGGAGGATCAAGAGTTCAAAATCATCCTCAACTACGTATCCAGTTCAAGGCTAGCTTGAGGTACATAAAACCCTATCTCAAAAAAGTTTACTAATTAAAAATAAAAAGTGAGGGTAGGGAGATGGATTAATGGGTAAGAGCACTTGCTATGCAAGCATGAGGACCTGACCTCAAATGCCCAGCGTCCACATAAAAACCGAAGCATGACTGTGTACCTATAACTCCAGCATTGGGAAGCAGACATGCAGGGAGCTCGCTGGCCAGACAGCCTAGCCAAAATGTGAGCTTCGGGTGAAGTGAGAGACCTCGTCTCAAAATAAATAAATAGATGGAGCGCAACAGTACTGATGTACTCCTGTGGTTTCTGTATTTGCACACACAGCTGCTTGTACCTTACCTTAATGTGCATATGCCCCAACCCCTACACTCATACACCCCCACCCCTACTCCCATACACCCCCATCCCTATACCCCTAC